GTGTTGTTTTTTTTCTATAAGGTGCCGTCAAGTCAGTCTGATTCATAGGGACCCCATGCATGCATTGAAACATACCCTAGGAAACCATAAATTCAAATATCACCGGAGACAAATCAACTCTGAACACTTCCCTTCATTTAATTCTACCAATACAGAAATAAAAAAAAAAAAAAAAAAAGAACACACCATACCGGGTCATTATGAGTCGGAACTGACTCGACAGTACTTAACAACAACATTCTGTTTTTCTGAATTCAGAATATTCCAACATAGAACAAGCTTCACCCTAACAACAATGTGTTAGATACTGAAAGACAGGAGGCTTCTGGGTTTGGGAAGTAACTCAGTCACTAACGGAGACTTCCCTGAAATCAGTAATTCTAAATTATCCCATGTTTGGCAACCTAAGATAGTTTTTACACTTGGACTGACACATCACAGTTAGACCAAGAAGCGTTGAGGGATATGCAACCTGCCCCCCGCCCCTTTTGTTTTTTAAGTAGGGCAATTTTAGAAAAGTTCATTTGGAAGTTGAAAACAAAAAAACGAAACAAACACTTTGCCGTCACCAATTCTGACTCCTAGAGATTCGACAAAACAAGGTAGAACTGCCACAAAGGGTTTTACCCTCACCACTGAACCAATAAATAACATCCATATAAACAGAGAAAAGATTGAAGTTGTCAGTGGACTTCGTTTTACTTGGATCCAAAACCAACACTCCTGGAAACAGCAGTCAAGAAATCAAAGGACAGATTGCATTAGACAAATCGGCTGCATTAAGACTTCTTTAAAGTGTTCAAGAGCAAAGAAGTCAGTTTGAGAACTAAGGTGTGCCTGATCCCAAACCATGATATTTTCAACAACCTCATATGACTGCGAAAGCTGGACAGTGAATAAGGAAGACTGCAGAAGAATTGATGCATTTGAGTTATGGTGTTGGAGGAGAATATTAAAGGTACCATGGGCTGCTAGAACAAGCATATCTGAGTTGGAAGAAGTACAGCTAAAATGCTTCTTAGAAGCCAGGATGGTGAGACTTCGTCTTCTTATACTTCAACGTATTATCAGGAGGGACCATTCCCTGGCGAAGGACATCAAGGTTGATAAAGTGAGGGTCAGCGACAAAGAAGACAACCCCCAACGAGCTGGACTGGGCTCAAGCCTGTGAGGATGGCGCAGGACTGGGCAGTGTTGTGTTCTATTGCATAAAGTTGCTATGAGTCGGAACCAACTTGACAGCACCTAACAATCTTTACTTAAGTAAACTGACACATCTTTTTCCAACAGAGCTTCTGGCAGGTTCCAACTGATGACCTTTTGCTTAGCAGCTAAGTACTTAACTGCCATACCACAGGCTATAAAATGATTCTTTAAAAGCTATATGGGCATCCGGGTTACCCTAGCTTGAAAACAGTGCTCTGGAAAATGTAACTCTAATTCCTTACCAATACAACCATGGTCGTTTTCAATCTAACCTCTGTTGCTGTATTTGTCACTATGTTGTTTTTGTTAAGTACCGTGGAGTCGGTTCCAACTCATAGCGACCCCATACAGGGTTTCTGAGGCTGTAAATCTTTACGGGAGCAGAAAGCCTCATCTTTCTCCCGCGGAACAGCTGGTAGTTTCGAACTGCCAACCTTGAAGTTAGCAGCCCGATTCATAACCACTACACTACCAATCACTGGATGGCTCTCTCCAACCTCAGCTCAGGACTGTCTAACTGTTTCCAGTTCTCACTTGAGGATTTGCTACATCTTTTCTAAAGTTACTCTGTGTCTGGAATGTCTTGCTATCTCTTTATTCCCAGAAAACACTTGCTCTGTTTTCAAGTCTCCTTAGTTCGATAAAAGTCCTGGTGGTGCTGGGGAGTAAGCACTGGGCTGCTCATGAATCCTATATAGGATCGCTAGGAGTCAGAATTTACTAATGGCAGTGAGTTTGGTTTGGTTAGTTCAATAAGCAGTTAGTAACTTTCTGTCTCCTGTTTATGTTAATAGGAAAGGATTGGATGGACCACAGTACCAAGAGGATCAAGGCCACTACCAGCTGTAAACGCCTAGATTTGACCAAAATCAACAGGTGTTAAAGCTGAAGCTGTGATGTGAATTATCTGGGAGAGTGGAGATGATTCCATTTACGATGGAAGCATTAAAACATTCTTAAATCCAGAATGCAATAATGAAGACCAGGGTACGGTAGTTTTCCAAGTTAAGTCTGGGGTACCTGTCTTCTGTCTATCACAGCACACACAGCAAGTGTCTGTTTACTTGACTAAAAATCTCCCCTAGACCACAAGTCCCGAGAAAACAAGTCTGCCTTGTTCACCATTCTATCCTCTCAGGACCTTCCATAGCGACTGACTCATTAAGTATTTGTCGTGTTTATTAAAAATTGTTTGGAGAGTAACTAAATGAAAAAACGGAGGGATGGATACATGAAGAGTGTTAAATTCACGGCATCTGGGGTCCTATTGGAATCTCTATAGTTTAAGAAAGTATTTCCCTAGAGGGAACCAAGAGTAAGGAAGTGAAAAGGTGGGTATCCATGTTAAGTTCAACCCTGAAGCCTGAGAGAGGTCTGGACTCACCTCCAAGCGAGGAAAATTTAAACCGTAGCGCGGCGGGAAAAACGAAGCACCGAGGCCCAGGCGAGGGGGATGCTTCGAGGTTCGGGAACTCAGAGGCGGGGCAGACTAAGTTCCTGGGGCGTGGCGGAGTGGGAGAAAGATTCTGAGGAAGCGCAAAGTCTCGGCCGCGGTCGCCTCGCCTCCCAAGGGACTAAGGGGCGAGGGGCAGAAAGTGAGGCGGGGGTGGTCGAAGGGCGCGAAAGGGCCCTGAGGCACAGTGCCCCTGGCTCCGCAGCAGTACTCACCTAGAGGACCCAGCTTAGTCCCGGCTCGGCGCCAGTTCAGTGCCACTGCCTTCCTCGGCCTGCTGAGCCGGCAGGAGGGCGGCCTTAGGCGCCCCTAGCAACCACGCAACACCACGCGACCCGCGCTCTCAGCCGCTGCCGCCTGCCACGCACTACGCGCGCCCCTAGAGGACGGATCGAGAACCAGGGAGAGGAGACCAGAGGCGGCAGAAGGCCGGCGCGCAGAATCTTGGGGACTGTGGGGACTGGGCCGTCACCTGCCTTGCGCACGCGCAGTCGCTTCAGTGCGGGTGGGGCCCGGCGAGCAGGATTCTGGGAGATGTAGTGCTGAAGTTAAATCCCAGAAAGGCTGTGTTCTGGAAGTCCGGAACTCTCCCTCTTTAGTTTTGTTGTTGTTATGTGCCATGGAGTCGGTTCCGACTCATAGCGACCCTGTACAGGTTTCCAAGGCTGTCAAACTTTAAGGGAGCAGAACGCCTCATCTTTCTCCCACGGAACAGCTGGTAGTTTGGAACTGCGGACCTTGTGGTCCGCAGCCCGATTTGTAACCACTACACTACCCTCCACCTAAACCCACCAGAAATTTGGAAGACAATCTGGCCGACTGATTGGAAGAGACATATTTGTGCCCATTCCAAAGAGAGGTACCCCAACAGAATGTGGAATCATAGGACAATCTCTTTGATATCCCATGCGAGTAAAGTTTAATTAAAGGTTATGCAGAAA